GATTTTATAAATTTTTTTTTTGGCTTAATATTATTGTATTAAATTTATCACGACTAAATATAGATGATACATTACCTAAATATAGACAAACGGGTTCACTAAGCATTCAACTTACGTTAGCTTTTAAAATTCTTGATCTGTTAGCATTTATGTAACAACATTAGTTAGCAATTTGGGTAATTTCAATAAAATAACTTAAATTTTATTAATATGAAAGCATAGAAGCGTACAAATTTTCATTAAAGTTTAATGAAAATTAATAAAGTAGCTAGTGATATTTCCCCCCGAAAAGTATGCAATTTTTAATTTAATACAATTTAATTTGTACATTGCCGTTGAAAAATAACAACTACAACTAACTTCAAAATATCAATGGATTTTGTTCTTTTGGAGATGGTAACACCATTTTAAAAATAAAAATTTTTAATATTGTAATTCACTAGGACATTATAAATTGTAATATTAAATTCTCACATGATTTGAAAAAAAAACAAAAGAACAAAACAAAAAAAAAATCATGTAGGTAGATCATGACTCTTGTACTTGTATTATAAATGTATTATAAATAAGAAATATAATGCAAGTATAAATTGCGCGTTACAACAGTTATAAGAATAACAGGTAAAAAGCGAAAATTAGAAATCTTTAAGTTTTCATAAAATTCAAAATTTCAAAAAACGAAAATACAAAAAATTCAATAATTTGTAAACATTAAATTTATGAGTGTTGTAATAAGAGATGACTTTTTGAATGTGACAATAAATATAAGTAAAATAAAACAAAAACAAGAAAACAAAGAAAAAAATGCCATGGAAAACTATAAAACTTTGTGTTTGTTAAGGTTTTGTTTTATTTTTGCGCTTTTTTTTTTATTTTTATAGCGGATCTTAACTCATTGTTATTGTGTCTTAAATTTTGTAGTTAATTTTTGTAAAAAAATTATTTTTTTTTTGTAAAATCTTGAGAAAAAAAAATATTTACAAAAAACCCATTAAATTTTAGTTTGTAAGTAAAAGACTTTTATTAGGAATTAAATTACGTATGGGATTTATTTTTTCTTTTGTTCATTTTATTATAAAAATTTTTTACCCTACAATGTTAAAAGAAGTTAATAAAACCATAATATACGTGATAATCAGAAAATATTCTATATAATATAAAAACTTTAATTTTATAATCATTGTTAAATTTATGATTTAAGTAGATATGAAAATTTGCGGCATACAATAATTGTTGCTTATCGTATACCTTATATTTTCAAACTCATTTTTCATTAAAAATGAATTTTAAAGGAACGAAGATTATTGTGTGATTAGCCATATAAAATCTATAAATATTGAATTTTTTAATATATTTGCTCTAAGCAAATCCTTATTGTAGTTTCATAAATATTATTTGTTTGTTTGTTTTTTTTTTATTACTATGAAGAGATGCAATAAATCCGACGGTTCTTATTTTTTTTTTTGATATATAACACGTTCATTAAAATGTTTTTAATAATTCTATGCAAAAGTCGATTTTATAAGAACAAATTTAATAAAAATGCTTCTGTTATACATAATTCAAAATGTTATACAATTGATTAATATATATGTATAATCTCATATAATTATATGATGTGTAATTTTAGAAGTTTTAACAACTTAATTGTGCTATAAATTTTGTTACTGTTTGTAAAAATATAAAAGTTTCTTATAAATTTTAACCATTACAAAAAATTATATTCCAAAAGTATAACCATAATATTTATTACTTAATAATTCTTTCATAAAATTCTTTAGAATATATTATTTAGGTAGATTTGACAAATGTGAGAAGGTTTTAAATAATAATAATTTCTTCCAAGTCATATGCTTATTTCCCTAAAGGCACCATAATTGTTACACACTATTTTAAATATTTTTGCCATAACATGCGTGATTAACGTGTATAAAGTTTTGTTAATAAGACTTAGTTAGAGTATGTGTTTTACATTATGACGTTGTTAAAAGTGGAAGTTACTCGTAATGTTTCCCATTTAAATTGAAAAGTGAATTACTTTAACGTTTTTTACACTTTGCTTTAAAGAATGCATTTTGAAATAATTTTATTTTTAATGAGTGATTTCAAAAGCAGTAAAGATGTGAATCTGAATTTCTTTTCTAATAAATAATCAAATTTCCGGGGAAAACATAAAAATTTAAATAGAAATTGAATAGGAAGAGGAAATATAGCAAATTACAAACGAATTTTGTAAAACTGTAAGAAAACAAAATGTTTTCAAACCGAATCAACTCTTGTTCAACCGAATTGCTTACTTAATAATTTTACGAAGTTGGCAATACACAATGTGATTTTTTGTAAAAATTATTTGTAATTTATTAATAATTTAAAATTTAAAGTTTTAAAATAGCTCCTAGGCTCTTTAAAAATTTCTAGGTTCTGTGAATAAAATCTTACCTTGAACATTTTACACATTGCCTAAGTAAACCAATAATCTATTTTCTCTTATATCCCAATTAATTTAGTGTTTTAGAATACTTATATTAAATGTTATACTAATAAATCAAAATAAATAAATTATAAATTAATTTTCATTTAATGATAAAATTATTAGAAAAATTCAAATTTTCCAATTTTCTATTAATTTCTTCTATCGTACTTCTAATTATATCGTACAATCAACTATGGTTCTTCTATACAATTTTTATGCATGCAACTTTTTTATCAATTTTGTCGATTTTATTTCTCTAAATACTTAAACAAATACCCACAGTTAATTATTATTATATTAAAATATTTTGAATTTCGGAAATCTAGCGAAAAATAAGCATTATAAATTTCGAAAACGAATTGAATTTTTTAAGCATTAAGTCTGATATACAATATTTTTGGTTTTTATCAAAAAATTTATTCTACTATTTTCAAATAGATTACATAGTGCTACCCTAAAAGTAGCCAGGAAAAGAACTATTCATATATATTCAATACAAAATTCTTAAAAATCAACTATATCCTTGCATGTCGAAAAACCGTTAAAATTTTTAATTAGATATACTCACTTAATATAATTAAAATAAACATTTATAATATTGCAAAATCAGGAATCTATTGTAGAAATAAATTCATTCTTTGTCTATTTCTTTATACAAATATTTTATTTGAATGTTATATGTAATGTTAGACCCTTAAAAACCATGTTATATGTGTACATAACACATATGAAATTTGACTTTCAGGTAACTAAGCATATCAAATATGAAAATGAAAGAAAAATTCTTCACACATTTTTCTCGTTTTAAATTAATTAATCGCACCTTTTATCCACACATACTTACATAATTATAAACATGAATAGAAATTAAAATGACTAAACATCAGTAATAAAATTATCCTTGATAAAAATCATATCAAATGTAATAAGACATATTAAAAGGATCTTCATTCAAAGAAATATGGGAGGAGCTACACAAATCTAAAAAAATATATAACATATGTTCCTATACATATAAATATCAACAACTAGTTTAAAAGACTCCATTGTTAAAAATTTTATCTTGGCTGTCAATTTTAATGCTCATTCAAAAAGAAAAACGAAAAGAGAAATCAAAAAAATTATATTCACAAATTGATTAACAAAATATATTTGATTAAAATTACGATATTATACGATCTCGATACCAACACATTCTTTTATTCATCTAACATATAAGATATAAGAAGAGATAATAAAAAAGAAGGTATAACAGAGAAGGAAAGAATTATAATTTCAAAAAGAAGAGATTCAAAAATTCAGAGAAACATTATTATATTTAGTTGGAAAGAAAAGTTGAGTGGATGCATTAAACATTTATCATACAATAGTTAGAAAAAGAGAGTATGATCGTAATTTGTAGGAGGGACAGAAGAATTAAATTTTATTTTTTTTTTTTATTAAATATTTTTACGCACTTTTTTAAAAAAAAAGGGGTGGGAAGTAAATATTTAGAAATTTTTTTCAAAAATATTTTGTTTGCCTCACAAGCTGTAGTTGTAGTATTTTGAGCAAACAAATTAGAGCGTTAAAACTCACAACATGTTTTGTTTATTACTGTGTGTGGGATAATTATTGTAAAGTAAATAAGTTTTTAAATTTTTTAAATCGATAATATTTAGATGAGATAAAATTTTAAGCAATATCGTAAAAATATCAAATACATGCGCAAGAAAATTTTCAATTTTACACAAATACATTTAAAAATAAATTCAAAAGGAAGAGAAATTAAAAGATCGAAATTTTTTAACAAAAATATTCTTTAAAAGAATTCAACTTATGAACTATATAGTTTGTCTAAAAGGAAAGGATCTTCGACGTTCTTGTGCAATTTACATTGTATCTCTTATTTTTATAATTTATATAGTAGATTTGAACCAAAAAAAACAAAAAAATTCAATTGTATTGGTGCATTTTATTGTATTGCATTGTTTATTTTTTAAGAAGAAAATCGTAACGAATGAAGTTTAAGAAAAGAAAAATAAAATAACAAACAAACAGAAAAAATAACACAAAATATTTTACTTATATTGAGTTGAGATGATGAAGAATAAATATTTTAGATTATTAGGTGCATTTTAGTTATTAAATCAGTTATGCTCTGACGATCGTACAAACAAGATCAGGTTTTTTTGTTGATTCCTCAAAAAAAAAAAAAAAAAATTAATATTTGTTTTTTTTTGTTCTGGTTTGGAAAATATACGAGATTAATATAAACATTTTAATAAATTTTTAAAATAAAAATTTTTTTTTGGTTAATAAGAAATTTAATAAAATATAAGTGACCGTAATATTAAATAAAATATAAGTGATCGTAATATCACAATTAGAATTTTATGGAACAAGAACATATTAGTTAAAATTTTCTTTGAAATTCAAGTTCCAAAATATTTATTAATTTATAAATTATTAGTAAGGATTATTGCATAACACTCCCCAAATATATTTATATATTTTGTGAATATATAGTTTAACTAAATTTATATGAAAATAATTGAAATTGAATAAAGAAACAAGAAAAAAAAATTAAAGAACTAAATTTGCATTGCAAATAATTTAGAAAATCAATGAAAGATGGCTGTATCAGCACTTAATATGACACCATATTTTTCTGGATATCCTTTTCAAGGTACGTTTACAAAATATAATTAATAATTCACCTCATATAATTAAATATATTTGATTAATATTATTATATATATAAAAAATTTTAACCTGTAAAAGATGAGAATGTTTTTTGAAAAATATATAGAAAATTTTCGAAACAAGTCGTTTGAGTTCATTAATTATGTTTTGTATTATTGCATCTGATTGTCAATTATATAATTGCATTCGATTAAATATTTTGACTGAACGTCTCACTTGTCACTCTTATAACAAACTACTACTTAAATTGCACGATAAGTTCTTATAACTTCATATTTTATACATAAACCATGCAAAGTAGACACATACTATTACAAATCTACAATAGTTTTATTAATGCTTTGAATATACATATTCGGCATTAGCTTGATTAATGAAAAATTTTAATATTTTGATTAATATTTATTTTTAAAATAAAATTCTAAATATAGGTGATTTAATAATGTAATTTACAGAAAATTCAGAAATGAGTTTCTAGAAATTTCATTTTGAAAAAAAAATTTGTATAAGAAATTGGTCATTGTAGCGTTACAGTTAAGGGAATAAAAATAACATTTAGAAAAAGAAATTAGAATTTCATTATCCTGTAAAAAATTCAAAAGATTTTTATGAGTTTATAAGAAAAAATTAAAGACTTGGCACAAAATAATGCCGTCTGTGACGTCTTTAAGATATTTTCGTGCATGCCAGAAATAGATTAAATATCTTACTAATAATTTACAAGCGATTTGTCTTTTAGTAACTACATATGATGTGACATTTAATTTCTTACCATTTAGTGTGGCATATAATTTCTTACAGCGACATATGATTTCTTACAGCGACATGTAATTTAAAGTAAAACATATTATTCACCTTATTTGAAAAATAAATTATTCATATTTTGAAAATTTTTGAATTTAATGAATTAATGTACGAAAAAAATCTTAATAGCAAATCACAAGTAGCATGGAATTTGCTATTAAGATAGCAAATTCCATGCTATCTTAATAGCAAAATAACTTAAACTTTACAAAAAAATCTTAATTCCAATTCGCAAGTAAGGTGGAATTGGTAATTAACCCACACATTGAAGAATTTGCATTCCATTTATCATTAGAATATTTTGGAGATTTTTCCATGCAAATAATTCCGAAATCGTTATCGAATTAATATAAAATTTACCGAAATTTTGCAAGATATATAGAATTATTTGGTTAAATTTTGATCATTTTCTATACCTTATAGATTATATGTGTATATTGTATAGTATAACAGGAAAACGTCGTATCCCAACTCGGTAGGTTTTCTTAAAAAAAATAATAAATTTTTAAATGCTCTAATTGATTTCAATTAACCATATACAAAAATCATTATTTAAAATTTTCCATGGAAAACGAGAAGCAAAATATTTTTCCAAATAAAATGAAATAATTTTTGTATTCCAAAAATATAAGATGAACTTAAATGTACCTTAAATAAAAACTCATAATTTTTCAGCCTTAATAAAATCATATAAAAAAATTAAATGAATTGAATAAGTTGAATTGAATTTTTCTCTGCGTTGCCTTTGAATAAAAAAAAATTATTTCTTCATAATTTTCATTGCATTTTTTCTCAAATATAAATTATTATGAAAAGGCGGCGGCGGCAGCGGCGGCATAAACTAAGAAGAAAATTTGAATATTATTCAGACATAATGTCTAAAGAAAATTAAAATTCATTTAAAATAAAAGAAAAGAAAAAATATGAAATTTTATTTCATATATTTTATATTTATATTAAAGTTTCATATTACTATATTAAAATGGTCCATTACCATAAGCTACAAATCATTATAAAAATTATATTTTCTCCGAATATACATATGAAATAAATAACATTTGGATGTACCTATACCTATGTTATACTCGTACCCGTACATTATATTGTATGCTCCAATATTATTTTAACCAGATGTTAAATTTTTTGTTTTCTCTATATATTATACACATTCCCTATCATATACATAACAATATTGTTCCTGCTTGTATTGAAAACATGTTCAATATTAATGAAATCGTCGTCCTCGTGAATTTTTTTTCTTTAAATTTGTTTTGATGGTTATACTTTGAATATTAGAATAGAATGAAGTATGAATTGCATATTATAAAAAATCTATAAAACATATGTATATGATGATGATGATGACGATGATATTAATAATGATGGTAATAATGCGATACGGTAATAATAATATTGGGGATTCCATCGTATCAAATTTCAAGTTCAAGAGGAAAATCATCATCAATATCATATTATAATAATCATTTAATTTAATCAATATCATTATTAATATTGTTAGCAGTCATTTACCATAAGGGCAAAAAAAAAAACAAAAAACGAAAACAAAAACAGAAGAAAAATAAAAATATGAAGAAAACAAAATCGACCTAATCAGTTTTGTAGGATCTACAAAACAAAAAAAACCAAAAATAAAACGAAGTGAAAAAATATCGGCAATATTCTTACTTTTTTTTTTTTGTTTTTTGTTATTCCATTATTACTTTTCAATATTTCTGTTTTCATTTTAATGTTTTCTGCTCCTCTTTTTTATGATGATGATATGCATCACCCTTAAGCCCAAAAGAGAAGAGCCAAAATATGGAAAAAAAACAAGGAAAAATTCCAATGATTTTAAATTTCTTTTTGTTTTTTTCATTTTTTTTTTTATTAAAAAAGTGCAACTAGACATATTGGCGCGATTTGTCGGCAAAAACTTTTTGATATTTTGTTAAATTTTTGCTCTTTTTTTTTTAACTCATATATTTTTTTTTTGTTTTTTAGGTTTTCATAAAGCCGCGTTCCTTACGGGTGATGTGATGAATTTAAATTTTATTTTTTTTTTTTGTTTTATTTTTTTGCTTTTTCTTTTCCTTCCCATTTTCATCAACATATCGCGTATTCATTTCTTCCTTAGCTTGGTTTTGTTTTTTTTGTATACTTAATTCAGATAAATTATTTATTATAGAGGTTCAATATACCTCATCGGTTTTTTTTTTTCGATAAACATAATATTGTTGATGGTGATGATGATGATGATAATGATGACGATGATGATTATGAAATTATTTATATTGGGAATATACTATACTTATTTCATTTTCATATTATATGAAGAGCTAATATTAAAGAATAAAAATTTTAAAGTTATGAGCATTAGTTTATTATTTTTATTTAAATTATTTGAGATCTTCCGTTTTATTTATTCATTTTTCATTATTGTGATTTATGTTAATTTATTATTTTTTCATTTAAAGTGTATTTTTATATATTTTATATACTTCATTTGAAATTCTATTTTAAATATTTAATATGCATAGTGATAGCATAATTAATTAGTAATCATACTCGAAAATTTGAATATTTTAACACATGTAAATTTGCATTAATATGTAAATGAATTTTAAAAATGCTTGTATTTTAACTTAATCCCCCCCCCGTTTTGTATGATATAGATTTGTTATACTGTTACAATTTAGATTTAAAAGTGCTAGAGGTTCGTGTAATAAAATGACTTCTATAATTTTTTTTTTAAAGTTTGGTAAATACTTAATACATTTGTGAATTAATGGGCGTAACTAAAAAAAATCCTAACTGAACAAATTCAGAATTAAATATTAAACAAAAATTAACTGAAATTGTATCCGCTTCAAACAGACTTTCATATACAAGTTTTCATATCAATCTAGTTCCAATTGCTAATTCTTTACGATTTTAAACAAATTAGGTTCTGTACAATTGAAAATTAATTATCCAGTTTAGGTTTTTTAATTATTCAGAATTTTCAACCAAAAATAATGTTTTTTTATTTTTTAAATATTTATTTTTCAGAAAATTTCGCATAATATTGGTAATATTATTTTAAAGAAAATAAAATTAAATCTCTTATCTATATAAAACAAAAAATATGTGGAAAACAAAACAAAAAACTTAAGAGAGAAACTTTATTGTGTAGCTATACTCTTTTGATAGTATAATAAACGCCATTATAATTATTGCTCAATTAAGCATATATAATTTTTTTTTTTATTAAACAAATAAAAATTATTTTTTAATTTTTAAAATATTTTAACTTTTTCACAACAAAATTGTAAGAAATTTTCTTAAATAAATATTTTATTTTTTTATTTTATAGCAATTGCATTAAAAAATTTTTTCTGCCTTTTCTTTTCTGTATGATTGCCCTATTTATTTAAGAACTAAATAAAAACAATTTCAATTTTAGACAAATTGTCTATTATTTGTTTTGTTTTTATTTTTCTATTGTATTGGTATTTAAGTACATATTATATGAACACTCAATTTAGGTTATTGTCTTGTATTTATTACAGAGATAATGGAAACCAAAATATTTATTTAAGTTACATAGGATTAAGATTTTGTACTGGCGCAATATTATCAAAATAATGATTTTTTTTTTTCTGAAATTGACTACTGTTTAAAAAATCTTTTTCAACAATTCTTTTATATTCATAAGTATTATACCAATTGCTACAATATTGTAGTAATCTCTATTTTTTCTAAAAATAATATGTTTTTATTGAAATTTGATCCTTAAAATAATAATAAATATTATAAGAGGAGAATTGGTTCAATGAAGCATTAATGTAACTGAAACAACAACATTTATATATATATATATATATATATATATACTTTTTAAATAATAACAATGTTTCAATATAATATTATCCTTTCTATAGAGTAATTTCAATGAAATATTTAATCATCTTTTTGTTACTTTTTAATCTATAATTTTTGAAGATCTGATTACAAATTCTTTTCCAATTGAAATGTTTTATTATTATAAGAGAAACTCTTATATAAATATGGAATATCCTTTTCGAATAATAAAAAAGTAAATTTAAATTGAATCATCTTGCATAAATGCGTCTACAAAATGTATAATAATGCATGCTTTTCTTAAAAAATTTTCTTGGAAAATACCAGTTTTTTGTATTCTCATCTATATTATTACTGAAAATCAATTGGTTGCTTTTTTTAAGGATGAATGAACATTTATGAATATTTAAAATTCCATTCAATTTATTTCTTTTTAGAATATCATTGTGGTATAATGGTTATTAGGTTAATTAAACTTTAGATATTTATCATTTATATTCACCTGTACATTAAGTAAAGGTAAATTGACCGAAAAGAGAATGAATATTCAAATTTTTTGTTCTCTCTATGTATATAATAATATAAAAAGGATAATATTAGAAATTTATTCTACAAAAAGGAAAATATAATATTTTCTTAAGAATGTTTCTATTATTGAAATGTCCAAATTGAATGACATTTAAACAATGATATTGCAAGGTAATTGCCTTTTGTTATTTTGTTAAAATTTTGAATGGGTGGCCATTACTTAAATATTAATACTCGTAGTTTATGTTGAAATATATATGGGGTATATGTCATTAACGTGGCAATTTTCAAATTTTTTGAAAGATGAATTTAGAAAAAATTAATAATTTTTATTTAAAGCAAAAATCTATATTTTTTTTTTTGAAAAATTAACGACAGTTTTCCACATACAAATACTAACACAAATATTAGAGTTTCTCATATATTTGAAATACAAATTTTTTTATTTCTTGTATGAGTTTCTGTTATTCTATTATCGTCCTTACATTTGTATTATTAGCTGTTAAAATAAAGAAAGAGCTCCTTGCTCGCTTTAAAAAAACACGATAAATAATAATTTTGAAAACATATAAAAGAGATAACTAAGAAGAAGGCCAAAGAAGATTCAAAAGTGTATAACAAAAGAATGAAGAAGATCATTGAAAATCAGAAGGGACTATAAATGTTTTTATAATAAAAGAAAATTTTCAATTCATTAGATTTTAGGGGTTCGATGCCGTTTTGTGTTATTCATTTTTCATTCTTTTTTTTTTTTTTTGTAAAGTTAAATTTGTATCAAATCAAAATGATTTGCCGGCATTCCTTTGATATTTTGCAGACACAATGGAGACCACCATCGGACTAAAAATATATATGTTTTCTTATTTTTGTTTCCTTCTATTGATTATTATAGTGATTTTACAAATGGATCATTATTATTTTTGAATACAAAAGATTGAACCTGTAAATGACAATAGTATTAATGTAGGTTGACTTTCTATTTATTGTCTGGTCGAAAATGTTAACAAATCTTAATTGAATTTGAGAGTTTTAAAGTTAGGATGTAGAGAAAATTTTTCAAATAAATGCATACTCGTACAATGAAATCAGGAAACACACAATTTTTATAATGAAAAAAAAAATTCTCATCCTTAAAAAAATTAAAAATTCTTCTCATTTTTTTCTATAATTTTTATATTCGATACACACTCTCACCATTAAATTTATGTTTTTCTTTGCAGGACAAGGACGTGTCAATCAATTAGGTGGCGTTTTCATAAATGGTCGACCATTACCAAATCATATTCGATTAAAAATTGTTGAAATGGCTGCCGCTGGTATTAGACCTTGTGTTATTAGCCGACAATTAAGAGTTTCTCATGGTTGTGTTTCGAAAATCTTGAATAGATATCAAGAAACTGGATCTATAAGGCCTGGAGTAATTGGTGGATCAAAACCACGTGTAGCTACACCAGAAATTGAAACAAAAATTGAAGAAATGAAAAAAGAAAATCCTGGTATTTTTAGTTGGGAAATTCGTGCTAAATTAATTGAACTTGGAATATGTGATAAAACTTCAGCACCATCTGTTAGTTCAATTAGCCGTTTATTACGTGGTGGATTACGAGGTGATGAATCAATTGGAAGTACTCGTAGTCATTCAATTGATGGAATATTAGGTTCATCTTGTGAAGATAGTGATACAGAATCTGAACCTGGTATACAATTAAAACGTAAACAACGTCGTTCACGTACAACATTTTCCGGTGATCAATTGGATGCTTTAGAAAAAGCTTTTTCACGTACACAATATCCTGATGTTTATACACGTGAAGAGTTAGCACAAAAAACACGATTAACGGAAGCACGTGTTCAAGTGTGGTTTTCAAATAGGCGTGCACGTTTACGTAAGCAATTGAATGGTCAGTCATTATCATCATTTAATACGAGTTTATCAACTTCAGGATTTATGTCAAATCCTACAACATCGTATGGCTCTTCATCTACTCAACATACACTATCAGCAACTACAAATCCTACATCTGGTAACACTTTTATTCCACCAACAACCGGAACTTGGCCATCTCATTCAACATATGGCATTTCTGATCATCACAATTCTACTGGTGGTACTCTTCAAAATCAACAGTCATCAAATATAAATCATCATTTAATTGGATCTTCTGTATCGATGTCACCACCAGCTAGTTCTAGTTCTATGAGTCCAGTTTCATTAAGTCCAGTTCATAATTCACAAGTATCTGGAAATGAAAATGTTATTGCAAATACTCCAATCGGCAGCAATTATTCTTATATAAATTCTTTTGATCAACAATTGCCATATTCATCATCATCTAGTTATGGAAATAGTTCTGTTAATAATACCGCACCAATTAGTAATTCGGCTGATTTTGCAACACAATGGAAATCACCTTTTGTACAACAATCAAAATATTCATCGGCAGCGGCAGCAGCAGCTGCAGCTTCTGAATGGGAAAATTATAGTTCGTTTTTAAGCAACAATCATCATCATCATCATCACCCACATATGACAAATTTCCATCATAGCTCAATGGAATCTAAATCTGCATATCATTATCCTATTCCTCATATGGGTGGCTTTGAAATGAGCCGAGTTCATTAGATGTAATTAATTTTTAAGAAATTATTGTATGGTCTGTTTATAGTCTGATTTTATATTGTACTGATTTGTTAAATCTTAAGAGGCTCTTATTATAAAAGTATATACTAAATTTTTGAAAGTATAAACGAATGTATAGTTTTTAGTTATTAAAATGAATGGTTGCACCACTCGTCTATATTTTATTATATTTACACTAATTTAAGTTTGAAAAAAAAAAATCAAAATCAAAATCAAAATCTTATCTTTAAATCTAAAATCAAAATAGTTTTTAAGTAAAATAAATTGCTAACAATTAAATTAATTTGCTTTTATTTTATATGAGCAATAACTAACTTTGTTAGTTTGAGAAACAACTTATTAAGTATTAAAAAATCGTGGCTCAGGCCAGTTGAGATTTAATTAAAATAAAAATTTGCTATGTCTTTGAAAACAACAAAATTTGTATATGGTTTACAAATTTTAATAACCCTAGATGTAATGTCATTGGAAGCTCTAGGAAGACTTTAATTTAAAACGGCAGATGATCATAGTTTTCAGATCCAGACACTTATTTAAAAATTTTAATCGCTAATTGATTTTCAGTCCAACTTCTTACATAATTCGAAAACATAACTGAATAGTTATTTCTTCCAGTCGTTTTCCTTTTCCGTTCTTATTTATAAGGGAGGCCTATTTTGGTTAAATATTTTTTATATAAATTCTTAGCAATGCTTGATAAGTACATTCGTACAGAGGATGAAAAATCATATAGGGAGCATAAGACGTTCATCACAAAACAGAGGGTTTATATATGCAACATATTCATAAGACTCATGGCTTGATTTTAAATCCAATATTAAAAGGTTTATTTGATTACTTGCTTCTCTTTCTGCATGCTCCTATATTCTATAGGCAAAAAGAAATTTTCCTTCTTTATTTATGGGGCATGCAAACATTCTTAATAAAACTTAAACAAATTCTATGATTCTAAATAAATTATGCAATGAAATTTTTTTCTTATTTTCAATATAAAAATTGCATACGTATATTAACAAAATTTTCAAGAATTTCATTTCATTTTTACACTTCTCGTTTCATTTTGAAGAATTTTGTCGGTTTTCTTCACATTTTCATAACACATAAAAATAAATTAAAAGTAGAATCCTTTTTCAAAAACATCATAATTTTTTTTCTTTTTTTGTTCTCAAACTCCTCTTCAGGAAATTTGTAAAGGTTATAAATTCATTGCTTTTTTTGTTGAATATACGAGGAAATATAATTGTATATACGTAGTTTAAGATTTAACATTAAAAAAGAAGAACCTATATTATTTCTTAGAATGCCATTTTGAAAAAAAAAAAATTCTCACTTATGTTAATCAACATCACATGGAATGCAATAAAATGTTTATTGTTGGTTTTCACGGATTTTATATTTTTATGGTCGTATCATATTTTCTCAAACATTTTAATGTCCTTGGTCCTACTTGTATTGAAAAATACATAGCTATTAATAATAATATTATATTATTTGTATTATTTGAATTTTTAGAATCAATATGCTATTTAAATAATAGCAAAAAATAAAAAGGAGGCCATTAAAGTGTCATTCCTTACATTTTTCATAATACATGAGCACAAATGGCATATAAGCAATGTACGTTATAAATAATTTCAAAAGAAACTCATAACGAGTTAAATGGATAAGATTTCGAACTATACACAATAATAGAGACTATTATAATTGTTTAGTTTTATTTGATAGGGAACCAGTAGCTTCATACGATCACAATTTATACTATACAATTAATAAATTTGTGTATGTGCATATACGATAAGTTTTTTTTATTACCAATAAAACTATAATATATATTTTATAGTTTATATAGTTTTAATATATATTTTATAGTTTCATTGAAGAAGCCCTTTATATTTATTTAAAGTAACATATATTCCAATTTATATAATCAGTTTATAGCGGAAGCCGTTCTAACATGGATGAAATCCATAAACGATTTTCTTTCACATTAAAAGATGTCGGAAATTGCACTAACTAAAAATTAAGGCCATTCATTAATCTAGTGCTTTAACTTTTCTAATTATTGTAAAACAGCTACAGAATTCTTGATAAATTTGACATTTTAATTAATGTAAATTCTTCAATATTTTAAAAGTTTCCTCGACGCCCTCATAACGTTATCCAAACTACACCTCTCTAGATGACTTGACGTTATCTTACTTGATAACTCATAAAGAGCGTGTAAAAAGAATTTTACACACTGTTATTTATTCCTGTACAGTCACCCAGAATATTCTTGTAACTTTGCAGCCCAAGAAGAGTCCTTCATAACGCCGATAATAAGTTTTGATATTATTTCCTTAAAATGCATGCTTTGGAATCCAAACATACCATCAAGAAGAATGACCAGTCTCTTATTTCTAGATAAAGAATTCTTCATCTCGTCAACGATCAATTGAATGTATATTGAATTATATCAATTGAATGCACTTCATTTTTAATAGAATTTGAGAAGAACCTCGGCCTAAATTAGCTACTATCTATCTTTTATTTATTTATTTACTAGATTATCACGTGTAGTCCCATCGGAAAGCTTAAAAATTTATCATAACAACTTGTCTTTCTGTTAAGCCTATACAGATAAAATTTTTCAAAAAATTATAGACTATCTCTGAAACACTATTAATGAAAATCAAAAATCAAATTGCATTTGAATTTTTTAGGTTAGTTTTTCTTTCTGTCTAACAAAATTTGCATTCTTTAATGTAAATGAATCGTAGAAAATAATGATTTCTAAAAGTTGAATTGAGTTAGAATAAAAATTTATGATGAATTTTTATATACCTGATATACCTGATCATAAATGAATATATTTCAACTGTTGACAGGATCTAGTTTAACATGAATTTTTTTTTCATTCTTTTTCTTTTTATTTTACATTTAAAAATTAAAGGAAGGCGTTGATATCCTTTCATAAAAGAAAGAAGTAAATATTTTATGCGTTTTTACTGAATTTTTATTCATAAAAGTATGTAAACGAGGTAATTTACGATATTTAAATTCATAATTTAAAATTGAGCTATTAAAAAAATACAAAAAAAAGGCCACATATTGTTAGACAAAATAATTTTTAAGGATAAAATTACAAATATTTGTATACCGTTTCCTATTTACATAGTTTAAATTTTAACAAGAGAAATTTAGATATTCCTTGTAAAGATTATAGCGAAGCAGGCAGAAAATCATAATTAAAAAATTACAGTTTCTCTTATTTTAAAAGTAAAACTATGTTCGGATATTAAGTGTAAAGTTAGTCTAAACATAAAGTTTTGCAAGAATTGAAGCAGTTCGCTTAAGACATGTATTGTATAATATAAGTTTATTGAACACCGTCATTTTCTAAATAGTTCTTGCTTGTCTATAGTTTGTGATGTAAAACTTTTGACTAACTTTACAACTTTATTAATGAAAACGCGTCCAACGTAACATAAGATCAATGGGACAATTGCAACCGAAAACTTTCTATTGAGTTAAAATTTTTAACTGGTGTATATAAAATTGTATCGGCTCGGTAAACGAACGGCTCGGTAAACGCATTGGTTTTCGTGATATTCATTCGATTTACGATATTTTCTGTCGAATGAGATAAAAAAAATTTTTTCTTCTTCTTTCATTGCTTTTCTACATCTAATATTCAAAATTTTCTGTGAATAAAAAATTTTTTTGATCTTCATGATGACGAAATTTAAAATGTGGTGCAAATACGTTTCAAATTTCTCTGAACCTGAGCCCAAAACATTGAGAAAAAAGCCTAATATTTGAATTTTGTGTTTTTTTTTTTAACATAATTTAAATTTTGAAGAAAAAATTAGAAAATTACTAATTAATCTTAAAATTTTTATGATGATGTGCAACTCCTCATAACCATTAATATACTCAATATGCAAAAAATTGACTTAATATCAAAAAAATTGGAAATAATCCGACAGATCCCACATATTATTGTATTCTAACGATCTTTAATAATATACTAAACAAATAACCTATATTTATATAATTAAAGAAAACAGTTAGCCTTTAATTTATTCCACGTTTTTTAGTATAACAGTTAATTATTACTTATATATAATATTATTATGTGTTTAATTCTGTGTTTAACATTCGTGTCTCATTATTCATAGTCACAATTAAGTCCTTTAAATTAATATTTATTCTTAATAATTTAATAATATGTTAAAGAAATGGATTAATTCAATATGAGTCAAAAAACCATTTAAAAGGTATGTTCGAAGGTGTGTTCAAAGGTTATAATAAATTTGCCTTACCGTTTGTAACGTTAAGAAATAATGGTCTGAGATATAGACACATGTGTATGTTTTTGATCAGCTTCGAATTCTTAGTCGATTTGACCCTGTCTGTTCGTCTGTCTTTCTCTACATCTGCCCGTACGTCGCGCCGATAACTCGAAAACTAATTGAGCTAAGCTTACCAAATTTTCACAAATAAATTATTATAGTAAATGCCAGAATCCTATTTAAATTGGACGTGATCGAGACACTAGTTCTGGTAGCAGCCATATAACTTTAAAATTTATCTGGCTATATCTCAGAAATTATAGAAGCTATGATAATGAAACTTGCGAACAAGCGAATATTTTATTGAATATTTTATAATGGGCTGTTATGTTTCATAAAATGCTTGTGATAGCTTCCATACAACTTCATATGTTGTTCGATAATAAGCCAGAAACTATTGAAGCTATAAAGCTGAAATTTTGAATAAGCAAAAATTGTGATGAGGCCATCATTTTCAACAAAATTCTTTTAGATTGTAAAATGTATGTATAAATAACACTAGATATAAAAATAGTAACAGGTTGTATGTTAATTTATCTTCGACATTTAAAATCATTTATTCGTACTGGTATCATAGAGTTGACATGGTCAACTACATCTATTCTCATTTCGATTATTATTATATAGTAGCTAGAAACAGCAATAACA